ACAGGCAGTCCTAAACACTCTTATGCGTTGCAGATCAGTCGTTCAACAAATATTTGTTAAGCTCCTGCAGTGTGCATGGTGCCGTGCTGGGCACTGAGGATGAAGCAGGGAACAAAATGGGCAGTTCCTCTGTTCTTGTGGACTTCACATTTAAACTGTTAATGACACAGAATATCATTTAATTATAACTGATTAAATATTCTTATGGCACAGCATATGATGTGAGCATATTATCGGGGAACTGTTTTTGCTTTGGGGTCAGGGAGGGCTTTGTTGAGGAAGTGATGTTCCCGTGTGTGCTGAAGGATGCGTAGAAATGTAAGTGCACCTCGTGTAACTTAAATTGTATTTAGGATTTTGTTTGTGACTTAGAAAGTAATGTAGAAAAATGGAAGCTTTAACCCTGAACAAGTTTAATGTTCCCAGTTAAGGGAAGTACAACTAACAGTTTGGAGATAAGTACTGATTATCTGAGCAGATCATTGTCTTCCTTTTGAGACATTGCGGATTTCAGTGGAAGTTCCATGACGGGCGATTGAACCAGCAGCCTTGGTGTATCAGGACGACATTCTAATCAACGGAGCTCCCTGGCCAGGGCCTCAAATTTTAATGTATGCACAAATGGCCCAGGGAATCTGGTTCAAATACAGGCTTAGATGAAAAAGACCCAGGGTAGGCCCTGAAATACCGCTTTTCTTAAAAGCTCATACATGATGCTGGGGCTGCTGCTGTTCACGGACCACACTTTGAGTAGCAAGACTATATTTCCACGTTGTAAGACTTACACAGGAATGCCAGCTGAATGAGAGGCTGGATGAATATTCTAGAGGTGATGCCCAATAGGGAGAGGTATTTGATAACAGAAGACAAAACACTTTGGTGTAGGAAGTTATCTTGCTACCACAGAAAGCCAAAAGCAATTCACAGTTACTATTACAGAGGACAGGAAAGCTAGGGATTGAGATAAACGTCCACTTCACAGCCAGTGAAATATTCCACAGAGTCATTTCTGTCGAGCGGACCGAGTGAACTAAATGGCCATTAGTCTGCCTAGGGAAAAGGTCAGGTACTGAGGATTGATGGCCATCCGTGGTCATTATGTGGACTCTAAAAATGATCTGTGACAAGCAACGAAAGATACGAGAGAGGAAGGTGCACTTGACTTTGAAAAAGAACATTTAATACTACTTTTTGTTATTCATAGATGATTAATCCATAAATGGAGGGTACTGCTACATAGATTTAGGTTAAAAAATGTTGCAAATGGCAAAGATAGAAATAAAATGGGAAAGGGGGGAATCTTATAGTTAATACCAGTTCGAAAGAATTACCACCATTAAGCCTATTAATTGCACATGTCTCTTTTTTATTTCACTGGCACCTAAAATAGAAGCTTATAAGACCATCAAAAGACATCACTGGTCTGCCCTTCTTTCATATATTATTATGGAAAAGATCTTTTTGTTAAAATTATGCTTTTAAATTTTTATAAGGTGTTTTATAGTTCTTAGTAAATTTATTTGGATCAGAAAATTAAAGTAACATCAAGTTAGCATGTTATATTATGAACTTTATGTACAAAATATTTTCTATTTAATCATATTTTCTTCGTGGTTTATTTTTCTAAGAATATGTCCATTTGTCTAGGTTGTCCAGTTTGTTGGAGTAGAGTTGTTCATAGTATTTTTTTTTACAATCCTTTGTGGGATCTGTTGTTACTTCACCTCTTTCATTTCTGATTTTGTTTATTTGGGTCCTCTCTCTTTGTTTCTTGGTGAGCCTGGCTAGAGGTTCATCAATCTTGTTTATCCTTTCAAAGAACCAGCTCTTGGTTTTATTGATCTTTTGTATTTTTTTTTTTTTTGTCTCTATGTCATTTATTTCCGCTCTGATCTTGTTGCTCTGTTTGTAATTCTTTAAGTTGTAGGGTTAGATAATTTATTACTGTTTTTCGAGGTAGGTCTATAGAGCCATGAACTTCCCTCTCAGGACTGCTTTCACTGTGTCTCATAGATTTTGGTTCTTCGTGGTTTAAGATAAATATTTAAGTTATAATGACTTGAAACCCTGTCTACTTTTCTCACCATTTAGAATGTCATGTCTTTGGATTTGGCAAAATTAATGACCTTCAGTGCATTTAAAGAAAGGAATTAGGGGTTCTACAGTGATAAGCAGTCATTTTAGGCTACTTGTCTTTTAACTTTTGTATATTAACTTATGGAAGGATAATAGACATCATTTACTAATAAAGAGGACTAAGTTAATACTAAATCAGGCAACTGTCATAAACTTTTTAAATCCGTCTAGGACTGAATTCGTAGACTTCAAGATTCATTCTAGACTAAAATCCACTTTGTTAATTAGATTGCTTCTTGATTTTTAGACGCAGGCCCACCTAAAAGGGAGACTGAGAAAAACTGAGGGTATGGCATATGTTTATAAAAAATCAACTTTCCTTCAAAACTGACTCAGTAAGAACTGGGTGTCAAGGAACATCAAAGGTATGGGAGTCTTTGTTTGAAAAGAGATGAAATGTGTAAAAGGGGAGCCCCTTGAAGTTACTGAACTGAAAAAGAGTAGTCACTGTCACAGAGATGATCATTTTTGTGTTGCCTTAGGATTTAAGGATTGAGTATTTTAAAAGTGTTCAATAGGCTGCCATTCTATGGATTATGCTATCGTGGCATGGAATGTTGCCTGTTAGACTGGGTTCCTGCCATGCTTGGGAGCATTTGGGGCAGGAACAGTTGGTAGTACTCTACCTTTCCCACCTGGAGAATAGTAAGACTAGAGACATGAGGAGGTACAGCTACATTCCAAAGGCAGCCCCATGGAAAAAATGATTCATCAGAGAAGTAAATACATTTCCATGCTATTTTTCTAAATATGTTTTTATTGATTTTTTTTAAGAGAGAAGAAGGAAGAGAGATAGAAATATTGATGAGAGAGAAACATCAATCAGCTGCCTCCTGCACGTGCCCAAACCCATTCATGAGCCCTGACTGGGAATCGAACTACTGACCTCTTGTTTCATGGGTCGGTGCTCAACCACAGAGACACTCCAGCCAGGCAATTTCCATGCTATTTCTTAAATGCCTTCGCAACATGGATGAACAGCTATTATTTCTTCTTTAAAACTTAGAAACAAGAAAAGAAAAAAAAAAGCCTTTCGATTTTTTGCCAAGTATAATAGCTTGGCAGTCTAGTGGCAACCTATTTGTGCTCCTGAATGCTTGCATGATTCAGTTGTTCCTTCTAATAAAATAAGCCTTGCTTTCCCCTGGATCAGTGTTGGGGTTTAACGGGTGAGAGTGAGGGCCCTGTTCTCACCTGGCTAACGTGACTCTAGTGAAATGAAACGAAAAGGCTGGGTTTAGGATTCAAGCCTGTGTCCTGCTGGTTTACCTTGGGTTCCTCTATTCTACTGTAAACCTCTTAGTTGAAACTTATTTGCTGTCAAGCCCAAAGAGTTCTACCAAGGATTAAAATTAGAAATTGACCCTAGCTGCAAATTATGGATTTCATTATGGTACTGTATTATTGAGGGTCGTATGTGTCTGTTCTTGACATCTTTCCCTGTATAGCTTCAGAGGGCACAGAAAGAGTCCTCAGTGGTGGATCCTGTTTTTGTTGTTTCCTCCAGAGGTATATACTTTTCTTTGTATATTACTTTATTTTAAAATTATCTCGTAAAAGTCTTGATTTTTGTTGTTACTGGCATATATTCAAACAGCTCATTTAATCACGGCATTATTGGAATATTTGTATTGCAAAACACCATGCAAGGCTCTAGCCCAAGTCAAAGTGAATTTTATCTCCAATCGGTATATTTTTGAAAGCCTTTTAAAAAAATCCTCACCCAAAGATACGTTTTATTGATTTTTAGAAAGAAAGGAAGGGGGAGGGAGGGAAAGGAGAGATGCAGGGAGGGAGGGAGAGAGAGAGCACGCTGAGAGAAACATCCATTGGCTGCCCCTCTGTACCTGTCCAAACCAGGGATTGAACCTGAAATCTACGTGTATGTGCCCTGATTGGGAACTGAACCTGCAGCTTTTTGTTGTATGGACTGATGCTCCAATCAACCCAGCCAGGGCTAGGAAACCTATTATTATTATTATTTTTATACCTCAATTTAACCTGCTCTAGAATTAGGTTAAGGACCTAGAATTAGGGGTTATTGATGGGTAGAATTTGAAGACTTCTGTTACCTATTATACAGTTAATGAACTGGAAGAATGGACATGAAAAATATATTTTTTTAATCCATGCCCTTACCTTGTTTTGAGTTCTGTGGTGGTTAGATATGTGTTCCTACTGGCTTATCAGAGTATGTTTCTGTTTAACGTAAGTCCAAAGGGAACTGGGAGCAGACATTTACAGAGCAAGGCCGGGACACTTTAGGGTTTTTTCTTTATGCTTTTTTGTGCCCTCACAGCCCTTAGTGTTGGCATCTGCTCCCTAAGTTGGTTTCTGGCTCTTTTGGGAAGTCATTTGTTTTTTTATTCGGTTAATGCAGATGAAAACTACATAGAGAGTAAAAGGAGAAATGGGGGAGGGGGATGACACAATTCTTCAAGCACGTAGGGATGTGCATAAAAATTCCAAAGACTTCATCCAGGTGTAAAGAGGTAGGGAGACAGCAAATTTGAAGCCTTTCAACTGTGACGTTTTCTTCTCATGAAGAACAGCTTGAAAGCTGTGATTTTGAGAGTGTTTCAATGTTTGAAGTCAGACAGCACATTTAAAAATAATGGTGAAATTTAATTTTCCCCACTTTAAATGGAATTAAGCATAATTTGATCATCATCTTATTTTGATAGTTGTGGGTCCCCGAATGAATACCAGAGTTTTGAAATTTTAGATGGCCCACGGCATCATCTCCATTGTTTTCATGGTATATGAAGATCTTTTTTGTCTCTTTTAAGCAAAACAATGCATTTTTCTCTTTCTAGTTCTTCACAAATGACCTTGAATTAATTGTTGATTTTTATGTTTTGCAGTACATTTTTATACCTGAAGTTTCTGGTAGTGTGGGCACTTGTCCTCCTGGCAGATTTTGTCCTGGAGTTCAGATTTGAATACCTGTGGCCGTTCTGGCTTTTCATCAGAAGCGTCTATGATTCCTTCAGATACCAGGGACTGGTATGTTAATTATCACGTTTTTCAAGTGTAATGAGTTTAATACCTTTCAAGAAAATAACTGACAATGAAACTGTTTAAGGTAGATTTTATTAGTAATACTTAGGGGACTGTATTGAGCTAACTAGGGTCTGTGAACTGACTCTATGGCTATTTTGTCTAAATCTATTGATCAAGTCATAATCCCTTCCCGTCTATCATTGCAGGGAAGACGGGAGGAAAGGACTCCCGGAGGGAGGCCGAGTAGTGGAGGAAGAATAGTTTCCCTATTTTACTCTAAAACGTTTCTGGAGCCCCTACCACTGTGCTCCTGATTGACTGAGAGCTAGAGCAGTGCTTCCCAACCTATGGTTTCAGAACCTGTTTACATTCTTAGAAATTACTGAGGACTCCAAAGAGCTTTTATTTATGAGGGTTACATCAATCCATATTTACTATATTAGAAATTAAAACAAAAACTTAAATATTTATTAATTCACTTAAAAAAATAACAAACTTATTACCTGTCAATACAAATGACATTTTTTAATGAAAAAAATATATTTCCAAAACAAAACAAAAAAAGGAAGATTGACTACAGTTTTGCAAATTGATATGATGTCTGTCTTAATGGAAGACAGCTGGATTTTCATATTTGCTTCTGAACTCAGTTGATTGCAATATCACATATCATGTAGCTTCTAGAAAATGCCATCGTACTCTTGAGAGAATGATTGTGGAAAAGATAGATAACATCTTAGTGTTATTATGAAAACAGTTTTGAACTGGAAGACTTGCTGAAAGGATCTCAAAGACTCCCTGAGGAACCCAGACCATGTGTTGAGAGTTGCTGGTTTAGAAAAGGGCACAGGTCTTTAGTTCTGCTGTGTACCAGAGCCACATCTTACACTTGTAACTCTTTCTACCTGGGCATGGTGCTTTGGTCAGAGCAAATCCATGCCTTGAAAAGATGGTTTTGAGCTCATGTCCCATTGGTAACAAGCAGAGATGTGTCCCGAGCTAAGCTGCACATTAAAATCACTAACATCAGCATAATTCTTATTACTTAGTTTGATTCATATGTGCTCCAGGAGCCTACCCTTTAAGAATGAGGCTCTCTAGGAATGTATTGTAAGGAGAGAGGAGACTTTTCTGTGTTAAAATGCTAGTTCTTTTAGTAACCTACCTGTGGAGTCCAAGTGAACTCACTGGAACTAACCTCAGTTTGTTCTAGTCCAGTTCTTCATGATTTGAAGCCATAAACAAGATTACTCTTTAACACTACTTTATTTATGGTTGATTTTAAATGTTTAATATTTCCTGTTATAACTTGCTCTGCAGTTATTGCATGGCAGTTTCAGAGATTTTGTCCAACATACTTTTAATAACCTCTGTTTGAAAATAACAGTTCTAAGTGGTGTTTCTTATTTTGTTTTGTTTTTCTCTTTAGGCCTTCTCAGTGTTTTTTGTTTGTGTAGCATTCACGTCAAATATCATATGTCTGCTGTTCATCCCCATACAATGGCTTTTTTTTGCTGCTAGCACATATGTATGGGTTCAGTACGTATGGCACACAGGTAAGTGTTAATGGTTTCTTAGATGGACAAAAATCTTAGATTCAGACTTTTTAAATGTGGTGATTAATCTTTAAAATAAATTATTTAGAGTACAGTTTAATGTAGACATTTTTAAATTGTCTTTTCCTAATAGATTATAATATACCTCTAAAATATATTTTATTTTTTCAATATTAAATCAAAAGTTTAAGCCTTTATGACTTGATATCTTGATTGTTATTGCTCTCGTCACCATTTTGTTGTTGTTATTTCGTTAATCCTCACTTGTGGCTATTTTTCCATTGATTTTTCAGAGAGAGTAGGAGGGAGAGGGAGAGACAGGAAGAAAGAGACATCGATTGGCTGCCTCCCACAGGCGCCCCAACCAGTGCTGGGGCTTGAGCCTGCAACCAAGGCATGCGCCCTTGACTAGAATTGAACCTGGGACCCATCAGTCTGGGGGCCAACGTTCTATCCACTGAGCCAAATTGGCCAGGGCTCTCATCATCATTTTTTTAAGAAGTTGAAGTGATTTCTATTTAGGTAGACTTGAAGACAGCTATGTGCCAAAAAGGAAAATGTTCTGGGAGTTTCAGCATTGAAAGGAAGTCAGAGGTCATTTAGTTGAAGCCTTATTTGGTATAGCATTCCTCACCCATGGTATTTAGTCTCTGCTTGAAAGCCTATAGTGACAAGGCACTTACTAGTACTGCTGTTGTTTTTGGGCATCTGTAATAGAAAGTTCCTTCTCAAACTGAGCCAGAATTTTCTTCCTTATATTTTTGACCTAGTACGTCTTAACTGATTTTGGACTTACTGATCTGACATAGAGGATATAAAAAGGCTTTCTCCAGGAAAAATATATGGGACATATAAAACTTTTCATTAAAATTTTAGGGGAGCTGCAGATCATCTACTCAAGGCCAAATATTGGACCTCCTTGCATGAGAGCCACACTGAATAAGTGTAATCTCCATCCATATTAATATATCTTTATTTTTTTTAAATAAGTCTTTATTGTTCAGATTATTACAATTGTTTCTCCTTCCCTTATTAATATATCTTTAGAGAGTTAAAGACACTGTCATATTCTCTCAGGTCTTCTTTTCTGGAGATAAAACATCTCTGGTTTCATCAGCTTTCCCATGTGTGTTATTTTAAGCACTTTATCACCCTATTTTCCCTAGTTCTTAGTGTTTTGTTTTGTTTTTTAAGAATCTTTATCTTTTAAAAAAATGTTTTTATTGATTTCAGAGAGAAGAAGGGAGAGGGAGAGGGGTAGAAACATAAGTGATGAGAGAGAATCATTCATCCACTGCCTCCTGCACGTCCCACACTGGGGATCAAGCCTGCTACTAGGGCATGTGCCATAACAGGGATCAAACCATGACCTCCTAGTTCATGGGTTGACACCCAATCACTGAGCCACACCAATGAGGCCTTAGTAGTTCTTTCAACCAAAATTTATTGTTTCAGGTATGTTCTAACTTGAAGTAAACACAGTCACCTCCTTTCTTCTTACTGCTATTTCAAATTAAGATGAAATGAGATGTTTTGACAGTTCCAGTCCACTGTCAAAGACTGAACACCAGATGCATAGGGATGTGATCATTTAACTTGTTTGCAAAGCTGACTGAAACTTGATTCTTAGGACCAGCTGCACCTTGTAGGATTCTGACCACTTAGGGAACACCAGCTAATAAAAGGTCTCGGGAGCATCAGTCATCCTCTTCTCTAAGTTGCTAAGAGAGTGGTGTTGGCCCACGTAGAAGACGCAGTCCAGCTTCATTATTTAAAGTATCCATTATGAGCAGGGTTTTCTCCATCTCCATCTTCACCACTCTTTCATATATGACTTGATTAATAAGCTAGCATGATGGTTTCTGAGTGTGCTTTCCTCTAATTAAAGAGATTTTCCTACACTCCAGTGTTTACTTGTATTTCCTTGTCTTGGGCCTGTTTCGAGTGAGTTACCATTTACAGTAGTCACTGTCTCTAGGTCTCAGTTTATTCTTTGTCATATGGAGTAATCTAGATAATATTTAAGGGAGCCTTCCAGCTCAGATAATCTGTGACTCTGATGAACTATAATGATTTCCTAAATTACTTTAATAATGTCTCAGTAGTTGAGAAAAAACTACTCATATAACTATTAATAGAACCTACTGGGAACAAGTTTGGTGGGTGACCCACAGGGCAGCAATGAAGCTAATGTCATAAGTGATACTCATTAGCCCCAGGCTCTGAAATGTATGTTGGATTACCTAAGTTGCTAAGTATGCTTTAATTAGGAATGATTTGAGCTCAAACAAACAAACAAAACAACTTTGTGTTACTATTGGGCCTGACATATATGAGTGCAGTTTATATAAGTTGGGATTAATTTTTTTTCCAGTTGTTAAAATTTAAAAGTCTTTCTTAAGAATATAGGAATGGTTGATAAAATTATATATTGCCACAAAAGAATATTATAAACTTTTTCCCTTGCTGTTAAGAGGGGGAAATAGGATACAAAATTGTATGTACAACATGACTGATGTTCAAAAATATTTTCAACATTTTATTATTTGATAGGTTTAGAAATACAGATATTTTGTCCAAAATTTTTTTTCTGTAATGTGTTAGTTATATTTATGATAACCTTAGAAATCAATATAGAGAGTAGGGAATATAATCTTTAATGTGTTTTTATTGATTTTAGAGAGAGGAAGGGAGAGGGAGAGAGGGATAAAACATCAGTTCCATCAATTGGCTGCCTCCTACATACCGCTACTGGATATTGAGCTCACAATCAGAGCATGTGTCCTGTGAATTAAACCAGCAACCTCCTGGTGCATGGATGATGCTCAGCCAGCCAACGGAGTCACACGCCAGTTGTGTTGGAAATAGAAATTATTTTGAAACTAATTTGAAGATGCATTATCCTAAAGGTTGCTATCATCCTATATTGTAAAAAATACCCTTTTTTGTGTGTGTAATCTATAAAAATGATTGACTATTAGTTACCTTCACATAGGTTGGAGTGCTTCCCTTCTTTATGCACTAGGCCTAAGGGAACTTAGGTTTATTCTCCTTAGAAGCAGAGTTAGTATTATCTCTGTAAACTTGGACCAATTTGTATAATCTCTGGGCCTCACTTTACTCTTCAGTAAAATAAGGAAGTAGGGCTAAATGACATTCTTTCTAGTTCCAAAATTGTATGATTTGTTTGTTTGTTTGTTTCATCCCAAAGATCCTTAGCAAAAAGCATTAGGTCACTGATTTTTCTCCCCTAGTCTCTCTTCTGTAACTTGCTTGCCTTATACAGTCTCAAAGGAGCTCTTTCCACAGTTATTGGACCTCATGCCTATGTAGTCCATCTTTATAAAATACCCATTATTAGTCATATCCTGACAAAGATGGACCTTACTGCAGATTTTGATTCTAAAACCAATGAAAATTATTTCTTATTTGCAACTTACTTATTCTGTTGCAAGCTGCTTTTTTATTCCTTGGAAATTGTTTTTAACTACAAAGGGAATATGAGCTTGTAGTTAAGAAAAAAAAATTTTTTTTAATAGTACTTCAATGTCAGAAAAGTTACTTTGCGCTGTAGCTCATTTGTACTTAATTTATTTTTTACATATTTCATATTAGTACAGATTTTCATTCTTTTGAAAACTACATCATGTTTTATTATGTAAGTTAACCAAAATTAAACAGTTCTCTATTGATAGACATTTAATTAATTCTATATTTTTACTGTTGCAAATAATACAGTGCATAGTGTTATATATTTATCTCAAGGCTCTTAATTTCTGTAAGGTAGATTTTTGGAATTGGAATTTCTAGGTCAACAGTATAAGTATTTTAAATTTCATTTAAATTTGTCAAATTGCCTTTTAAGATGTTTGCCTCAATTTATATCATTGCTAAGTATGAGAATGAATCTTTCCTCTTACCCTCCCCATATGAATTACATGTCTTAAATTTATGCTTATTTGATAGGTTAAAAAATGGAATCTCATTTTTAAAGTTTGTATGTCCCTAATCACTAGTAAAATTGAGCCTCTTATTATATGTTTTTAGCCATCTATGTATTTTCTTTTATGACTTATTATCATTGCCTTTCTGTTGATTTATAGGAGCTCTTTGTATGTTAGGGCTATAACTCCTTTGTTTACATATATTGTAAATATTTTCTGCCAAAATGTTTGTCTTTTACTTCTTCCTATGATTCCAAAGCATCTTTTGTCATATAAAAGCTTTCAGTTTCTATTAAATTGCTTTTTAATTGTTTGGAAGTCTTAATGAAAGTAACTGTGGTCGAGGCAGTCTTTCAAACAAACCATCTGTTCTGTTAGTCAATGTGTCATTGATGCTTGTCTCTCTGCTGCTTTTCCACAGAAAGAGGAGTGTGTTTGCCTACAGTGTCCCTCTGGATACTCTTTGTTTATATTGAAGCAGCAATTAGATTTAAAGATCTCAAAAATTTTCATGTAGACCTTTGTCGTCCATTTGCTGCTCACTGGTGAGTATTATGTACATTCTTAATCTATAATTCAGCTCAATGTTTTTAATGTAAATGGTAAGTTCAGTTGTAAATTTTTACTTAGAGATTTTATAAGTAAAACCACATAACATGGAGGCAAGGAGCATGAGCTCTTTCTAGTCAGGCAAATGAGTGTTGGAATGCTAGCTCTGTCCCCTAACAGCTTTGTTGCCTTGAACATGTGTATCACTGTCTCTAAGCCTTAGTTCTCTTACCTGTATTTTGGGGACTTGTCTCATGGGGATATAGGAAAGATGAAATGAAGTGATATATGTAAAGTGTTTAACTTAATGCCAAGTACATAGGGATCTGATAAATGCTATCTGTTTTCATTATGATCAGGTATTGATTCTAAAAAGTCTTAATGAAATATATGGCTATTTCATAAAGCATAAACGAACTTAATGTTTTTCTTACCTAATTTATAAAAGCAAGAAAATATTAATATTTAATGGAATATTAGTACTGTTTAAAGGAATATTATTTTTTCTTTTAAAATATAAATTAATATTAAGATAGTTTATTCACTTAACCTTAACCATGAAACTTTTGTTGTTGTTTTTAATTCTTATATGAGGATATTTTTTCCATTGATTTCCAGAGTTTTAAAATTAATGATTTAAAATTAATATGATTTTTGACAGTGTTTGCAGAGGCTTTGAAACAGATTAATGAGTTGAATGAAAATATTTCAACTTGTATTCCCCCAGGTAGCAAGAAGATTAAATTAGTCACTTGAATTTGACCCTGTTTTCTGGTATTAAAAAACAAATGATGTCCTTTTGATTTTTTAACACTTACGATGATTACTTATGATCCCTACTCCGTTAGATCTTAAAACATACAGGTGCCCAAATTTTAATATTGCACAAGGCACTTCAATGTTAACAACATTAGCCACTGCATCCAGCAATCACTGTGGTAACTTCTTGAGTTAGCTTGAAGAATGCCAGCTCTGATGGGCAGCTTCTTATTGTCTGATGGTCCCACTGTTCTCTGGGGGTTTGTTCTACGTACCAACTGCTTCTGATTTTCACAGCAGACATCCTATTTATGTGCTTGCTGAATGCTTAACTATTATCATCTAGAGTTTATTTCTTTTTTAAAATATATATATTTTATTGATTTTTAGAGAGGAAAGGAGAGGGAGAGAGAGAGATAGAAACATCAATGATGAGAGAATCATTGACTGGCTGCCTCCTGCACGCCCCCTACTGGGGATGGAGCTCGCAACCCAGGCATATGCCCTTGATTGGAATCGAACCCGGACTCTTCAGTCTGCAGGCTGACCCTCTATCCACTGAGCCAAACCAGCTAGGGCTAGAATTTATTTCTTAATTTCAGTCATAGGTGTCCTCATGTGCATGATGCACATGTTTTTTTGTTTTGTTTTTAACTTGCAATTACTGGCTGGATTGTCTTCTTTCTAGTATTGGGTACCCTGTGGTGACTTTGGGCTTTGGCTTCAAAAGTTATGTAAGCTACAAAATGCGGTTAAGGAAGCAAAAGGAAGTACAAAAAGAGAACGAATTTTACATGCAGCTTCTTCAACAAGCCCTACCCCCAGAGCAGCAGATGCTACAGAAGCAAGACAAAGAGTCTGAGGAAGGTAGGTTTTTACCCTAAAGCTGTTGGCTCAATAGCTTAGTCATTATTATATTTGTCAGTACAATTTTATTTATATTTTTTGGAAAAGTTGCTAGGACTTTGGAAGATTACCAAGGATTTCCTATTTTCTGGTATTCCTCATTAGGGCCATTGCTTTGTTTGGTCATGAAATATAGAATGTGAGTGATGTTCTCTACCTAGAATCTGAAGACCATGTACCTTTAAATATGTTTATTTTTTATTTTTCATTTTTATAGCTTATTCAATATTTTTATATTTTAATTGTTATAAATATTTTAAAATATTTATTCTCAGTAACAAAGTAGTATGTGTATATGTATGAGTTTGTACTTGAAGCAAGCCAAGAATCAAAGTATACATCAGATAGAGAAATAGACAAACAGAATTGTTTTGTAAGTCAAAATTTTTCTGAACAGAGCAAAGATGGATAAGTCCCATTTTAAATGGTTCATATAAAGCAATGTGGAACTTAAATGGCACCTTTTCTATAAGGATCTCTTTAATGATTATATAATTAATTCAATAGATGAATTTACAGCAGTACCAGTTTTCTTTGGCTTGATAGTTGAAAATTTGGGGTCATGTATGTAGTTGATATATGCCGAATCTTATTCTTTGGTATGGTGCAAAAATATCTCTTCAAGTAGACTTAAACAAGTTGGAATATGTAGACCTGATACAGAAAATTTTTCATAAGATACCTAGTAAATGATACAGACTTCTTTAAAAAATTTTTTAAATTGATTTCAGAGCGGAAGGGAGAGGGAGAGAGAGATAGAAACATCAATGATGAGAGAGAATCATTGATCTGCTGCCTCCTGCACGACTCCCACTGGGGATTGTGCCTGCAGCCTGGACATGTGCCTTGACCAGAGATTGACCGTGACCTCCTGGTACATAGGTTGATGCTCAACCACTGAGCCACATCAACCAAGTCAGACTTATTATGTCAAAGCTAGAGTCAAGGAAGAAAAATGTAGATTTGGATTCTAACATTACACTATGTTTAATTTAATCTCATTGTTTTTAATTGTTATTAAGTTTTTTTAATTTAAACATCTTTTAAAATATGGCCTCTTATAAATATGGTCTGCTTGTGTCCTCTCACCTCAGTGATAGACAAGTTTGATTTGACTGATAAGTGAAGTATGATTTAATTATAAAATCCTCATCTCATTTTTAAAATTTCTTTATTGATTAAGGTATTAACATATGTGTCCTCATCCCCCTCATTACCCCCAACCTTCCCACTCATGCCCTCACCCCTCTGTTGTCTGTGTCCATTGGTTAGGCTATATTGGTTAGGCATACAAGTCCTTTGGTTGATCCCTCATCTTATTTTTGAGGCAAAGTTTTAGTGGCTTGTTTGGTGTTTATAAATGACTAGAGGCCCGGTGCATGAAATTCATGCATGGGTGGGGTTCCTAGGCCTGGCTGGGAGATGGGGGCCAATCAGGTTCCCCACATCCCTGCCTGGATCCCTCCTTCCCTCACCGCCCACATGCTGCCACTGTGCGGTTCCCTGCCTTCTGACCTCCGCTTCTCCTCCTTCCCTCGCTGCCTGCATCCACCACCACCCAACCCTGGTTCCTCATTCCAGCCCTGGGCCTGGGCCTGGCCCTAATTGGGTGATTGGGACCTGCTGGCTAAGGAGAGGGACTGGGAGGTGGACTGGCAGGTCCTGATTAGGTGATTGGGGCCTGCTGGCTGGCAGGGTGGGGCCGCAGGAGGTTGAACACCTGGCAGGGGTTGGGGGCTTGATTGGGGGAGGGGCTAGCCAGGGGGCTGAGGGCGGTTGGCCAGCTGGCCCCGCTCCCAAGAGGGGCCCAATGGGGCTGGGCCATCTGAAGGGGACTTGGCTGGCTGGCCCCACCCTCTATTGGGGCAATGGGGGTCAAGGCTGGCCAGGGAGAGGGGCCACAGGAGGTTTGGGGGGCCGATCAGGACCTCAATTGGGCTGGTTGGCCGCCCCACTGTGGATCATAGCTACCAGTCATTCCAGTTGTTCTGGTCTCCCGTAGTTCTGGTTGCTTGGCTTTTATATATGTAGATGCAATTTTCTAAATATTCAGCTTCTCAGATTTATTTGGATTTGCTTCTTGAAGTTAGCATGATGTTGTGAAGTTACTACTTGTAAATAAATGTGCAGATTAATATAGTGAGTTTCTAAGGGTAGATAATGCAGTTTGTTGAATCAGTCTCTTCTGTGTTTCATACAACTAAATATTCCGATGTGGATTTTTTGTTTGTTGGTTTGTAGCTGCCAAAGGATTACCTGATATGGATTCCTCCATCCTTATACATCACAACGGAGGCATCCCAGCCAACAAAAAACTCTCCACAACTTTGCCAGAGATAGAATACCGAGAAAAGGGGAAAGAAAAGGACAAGGATGCCAAAAAACACAACCTTGGGATAAATAACAACAATATTCTACAACCTGTAGACTCTAAAATACAAGAAATTGAGTATATGGAAAATCATATCAATAGTAAAAGATTAAATAATGATCTTGTGGGAAGTACAGAAAACCTCTTGAAAGAGGACTCATGCACTGCTTCCTCAAAAAATTACAAAAATGCCAGTGGAGTTGTGAACTCCTCACCTCGAAGTCACAGCGCCACAAATGGGAGCATTCCTTCTTCATCGAGTAAAAATGAGAAGAAGCAGAAGTGCAGTAGCAAGAGCCCAAGTACACACAAAGACTTAATGGAAAACTGTATTCCTAATAACCAGCTAAGCAAACCAGATGCACTGGTAAGGTAAGTGTGCCTGCTCTGACCTTACCAACACTTTCCAATAAACTTAACTTAGGTCTTGAAAGACAAACACTTCTTTGGGCCTGTGGGAATTGTTGGTGATCAGATACTATAACTGTAGGCTGTGGCATTTGACATTTAGTGTTTATTTCACAAGGGTTTGTTGGCCCCCGGTGCCTTTGTCTTGAAGCATTGATTCCAGCTCTTTCCAGTGTTTTGAGTAAAAAGTGACAGTGATTACTTTCCACAGTTGACATATTTACATATAACTTGATTTTCTAGTGCCATGGAGAAGCTTATCTTTCTTCTCTGTCCTTTTTTGCATATTCAAAGTACTTGTGGCATAGACACAAAAAGCAGAGTGTGTGTCCTGTTGATGCAAATCTCTTTGTCAGATAGATACCAAAAAGGGTGGTGGAAAATTGCCCTTACCATTTTGTGCTTGATTGTTTTTCTACTTAAAATGCAAATGATTCCCCAAATAACTCTGGGAAAGTTAGATTTGAAAAGTAATCTCTTTCTAAAAGTTCCATAGGTAAATACAATATTGGACATGGATTTAAATCAGAAATATTCCTTTTTCCATCTTTAATAAAATAATAACTTATTACCTTGACTGGCTCAGACTTAATTTTGCTGTATTTTATATTTTTGTGTATTCTATAAAATACCCATGTTCCTTGTACCCTCATATCTTTTAATTTGGAAACCAGGATCTGAACTAGAGGTTTTTTTTAAATATGTAACTGAAGAGAACAATTGTAACTCCCTCTAAAAGTTACCTTACAAGCCTCATCCTTTGGCTTGCTTAAGAACAATGTATTCTAGGGGAGAAGGTTTCCAGTGTTATAACTTATATAAATAAGATTATTAATTTCTTTTCATTTCTAATTGGTAGCTAGATTAAGGGAAGTCTATTTGGGTCCTACTGCTAAAGGCTCTTGAAACTTTATAGCCCCAGACACTTTTGGAAGCATACCCAGTTGTTGCTGATGTCAGGCTGATGTCAACCTCTGTTTGTCATGACATCATGCCCTGTACAGAAAGCACTCAGCAGAGAACCCTGAGTTGCCCATGGGAGAAAAACCAACTAGTTGACCTTTTACTTCAACTATCTTACAGATTAATTATATGGTATAAATAAAAGCTTTCGATATCCTTTTGATTTCAAGCTTTTTGATATCCTTTCTCCTATACAATTTTAATAATAACAGTCAACTCAAAACAATTTTCCTCTGTTGGGTATTGCAGAGAGAGCAGTCAAGGCTCAGTCTTATGACACCATCTCACTTGGGCCTCAGTTGTGGTTTGATTGACTTTACTTCCTGATCTACCTTCAGTAAAGAAGTTCAAGGACTCACTCAGATGGACAGTCTTCCAGTATGTGGTGGGTCCAGTGCCCCCATGCCTCTTCCTGTGGTCACTAATGTGATGTGCCTGATCAGAAGGGTCTCAGAATAATACTCTGTCTTAGGAAATACCTTCTATCAAATACATGAGTAGAAAGTATTGTATTTAAATAGTTTTGTAAGCTTCCATAGGATTATTTTCAACTTTTAATGTAATATAAAAAATTTGGAGATGACCTAAGTATCCAACAATAGGAGATAAATATAAATAAATTATGATTCATCCATTTGATGAACTTTTTTTTAAAGTATATTTTATTGATATTTTACAGAGAGGAAGGGAAAGAGAGAGAGTTAGAAACATCGATGAGTCATCGATCAGCTGCCTCTTGCACGCCCCCTACTGGGGATGTGCCTGCAGCCAAGGTACATGCCCTTGATCGGAATCGAACCCTGGACCCTTCAGTCCGCAGGCTGATGCTCTATCCACTGAGCCAGACCGGTTTCGGCTATTTGATGAACTTTTAATAAAGACATTACAATTATATTTTGGGGCCATATTAAACAATATAGGGAAGTGCTCATAACAATATTTTATAAAGAAAGTAAAAAGCAATTTTATTCAAAACAGTTTTTTAAAAAAAACATACATAGGAAAATGATTTGAAGGAAGAGGAACCAAAATGATAACAATGGTTATTGCCCCATGGTAGTATTGAGGCTTTATTTTTTCTTTTTACTTTCATGCATTTTCAAATTTTTCTATGATGAACAACAATGAAAATTTATGAAAAGAAGACTATCTATCTGAGTAAATTATCCAGCTTGTTTGTAGAAGGTCTTATCACACTTCCTCTTGCCCTTCTTGGCTCTCTCCTGTTTCCTCTTGTTTGACTTCATGATGAATATTAATAAGACTGTAACTGATCCAAACTTGACATGTTTGAGTTGTTCTCTAGAGAGTGGGTTCAGATGGAGAGGGCTGGACTCCGGCTCCTTCAGGTGCAGCATAAACGGCTGACACTGCATATTAGCCCTTTGCTACTGCAGACACACCCAGGGTTGTGTGCAGGTCCAGGCTGGCTGTAGGGAGAATATTGAACTATTATACCTCTTTAAATATATACTTAAAAAATCGTTTGAAAGCCATTACTGTATTATTAGTAGTAAATTGATCGCAACACATTCTGTAGCTATGTCTTTCTCAATATCATGGTTGAGAACTGCTATATTTAAGGAACCAATTCAGTGGCTTTTTTTAGGTGGTGGGAATTCATTAGTATACTATGTTCAAAGAGAATTCTTGTAGATCATTATAGCTGTCAAAATAAGGTTTTATGTTCATTCCCTAAGAAAGGGCAAATAGTCCTTCAGATCCATTTCTCCAAGCCCTTTGGATGTTCTCTAACGTGCTGTATATTAAAGGTTGTCAAACAACTGGGCACAGGCCAAATCTGGCCCACTGCCTGATTTTGTAAAACATTTTATTTATTTACATAGTGTCTATGGCTGCCTTTGTACAACAGTGACAAGAGTTGAGTAGCTGTAATGGCTTACAAAGCCGAAGGTGTTTACTATTTAGCCCTACACAGAAAACATGCTGCTAGATCACTAAGGTTAAGGAATGTGGGTGATGTTAAGGGACTTGGGAATAAGTGTTGCCTGTAGGATCCTTCCCAGGAAAAGTTTGGAATTTGGTGAAACCAGCCCAAAGCCCTCTTTTGATTTGAGAAATACATATCTTACAAAATCACTTGAATTCTGCCAGCATGGTTTCTGAATTCTTTACCCAAGGTATTTAGCAACAGACTTACAATGTTGGTAGCCAAAAATATTTTTAATTCTGACATGTGAAAAAATTCTAGACAAAAAACAGAAAAAGCAATGAGAAAGATCAGTTTTGTGTGAGTTTTAATTAAGTACTGGGTTAGAAAAGAACAATGTAAATTAGAATGAGAGCCCAAGCCGATTTGGCTCAATGGATAGATTGTCGGCCCTTGGACTGAAGGGTCTGGGGTTTGATTCCCATCAAGAATATGTACCTCAGTTGTAGCCTTGATCTCTGGTCCTGCTTGGGGATTGTCTGGAGGCAGTCAATTGATGTGTCTCTGTGTCTCTCCCACTCCTTCTAAAAATCAATGGAAAAATATTCTCAGGTGAGGATGAACAACAAAAATTAGGTGAGTTGCTTAGTGTTCTCCCCCCTCCCCCCGTGTCATTTAAAAAATACTTTAAGTGTGAAATAATTATAGAAAATTTAGGTAGAGAAAAGGTGAAAATAGTCCCACCACTATCACACAAATTACTGTTTGTTTGTTTTTTTAAATATATATTTTATTGATTTTTTTTTTTTTTTTTTTACAGAGAGGAAGGGAGAGGGATAGAGAGTTAGAAACATCATAAGCTGCCTCTTGCACACTCCCTACTGGGGATGTGCCCACAACCAAGTTATGCGTCCTTGACTGGAATTGAACCTGGGACCCTTGAGTCCGCAGGCTGACCCTCTATCCACTGAGCCAAACCGGTTTCGGCACAAATTACTGTTTAAATGTTGTATTTTCATCAACTACATTTATATAATTGTGGCCACAGTGTTTGTATAGTTTTTTGTTCTGGGTTTTTTGTTGTTGTTGTTTGTTTTTTTCTCATTTAAATCATATAGAAAGCCTTTTCCCAATTTAACCTAACCCTCATTTTCGCGTGAGGTGGAATATTCCATGGCAGGTCTGTGCAATCACTCAGCAGTCTAAGCCTGGGCAGATCACTGTGGGACACCCGAGCTGCTTTCCTGCAGTTTCAGGGCCTGCAGGCAGGAGAGCCAACAGTTTTGTTTGCACTTGGCACAGTCTCCTCTCAAATACAGCTTCAGGACTCGGTTTTTTGTTGGTGATTGTTACTTGTTTCAGTTTTCCTGGTTAAGAGAGAGAATTTAAAACTTTGAGTACAAAATGTAAAGTGTTCCATATTCTATAGAAGTATTGATGTAGAAGTCTGGTCTTGGTTTATTTCCATGTCACTTTTTTGGTTCCCAAGACAGAAGATTCATCTTTTTTTATATTTAGTGCTAATTCTTAATAATGTATCAAATTTAACTTAGTTGAATAATGTTTGGTGTGAAGTCATAAAGGAAAAGTATCCACAGTTTGCTTAGTAGAAATGCATTCAATAAAATGGAGTAGAATTTAGAATGATGATTATTTTTTTGGAACAGCAAGAGATCTAAAAATCTAAACCAGTCTCCTCAACCCTTTTAGCAGTGAGTAAATGATAAATGAGCCTTAGAAGGCTGATGGCTAGTCCAAGTGACCCAGTTAGAGTGATGGTGCCAGGACCAGAACCAAAGTTTCTTGACTTCTGTCTTTCTTGTTATACCATGCTGCTTAGAAGTTTATTGACCTGCTTCATTTTTCTGCTTTATATTTTAGTTTTAGTTTTAAATGCACATATAGATACAGTTGGTTTAAGGGTTGGCACCCGAGCTAGATTTTATGCTCCAATAGTTAACATTTTTAGAAGAAATGCTTAGAATTTAAGAATTCATTTATTTTTCTTCTAGAAAGATGCTGTTCTAAGTGTTTTAAAAAGTCTTGCTCCTGTTAAAGTCACAGTGCATACTTATTTCAAAAGAGAAGGAGACCACCCTTGCGAGCTTAC